TTTACTTCCATCTTACATGCAAAATGTATTTACTTCATCCAAAATTTCCCCAAACACTCAACCTATCATTCTATAAACTCAAAGTCCAAAACTCTTATCTAAATCTTGTCAGCTCAATAGTACCAACTTTTCACTTAAATGAGCTATTTATAGGTGAAACTGTGAGTATAATCCACCATAAGGCACAATTTATCTCCATCTGTAAACCCGTGAAACTTAAGAAAAAATTATCTAATTCCAAAATGCAATGGTGATATGGTATATAATAACAGTAATAAACCATTGTATTCAAAAAATAATAATATAGAAGGAAGAAATAAATTGCTGTTCTCAAGGAACTTTGAGATGCAGGCAGTCTCAAAAAACTTCAAAAACCACACAAACTCTGTTAGCTTTTCAGCACTACAAACTATACTCTCATTTTGTGGGTCTGCCTTCTAGGCTCATGACTCTGTGCACTGCTTCAGCTTCAGTGTCTCGTCCTTTTGTTTTATAAAGCATGACACATATTTGTAGCTACGTAGTTTTATTGCTTGTTTCCTGCCTGTAAGATTTTGGGGGTCTGAAAGCTTTCCTCTATTTTGATCTCTATCCCTTTCAGTACAAGCTGGCAGTTTGTGGTAGTATAACATTGGAAGAACCTTGTGTGTCTCCCATGTGTTTCACATGGATCAAATTTGTTAGACAAAAGGCTCCTCTATGTATCTTTCTTAGATAATCTTTTATCTATATTTGGCATCCACTAAGATGGACAAGGACATCTATAGGTCACACACTCAATATTTTAAAATGACATTATGTGTGGCTAAATATTCTGGCTTTTGATCTTTCTGAAGTAATGAACCTCCATTGACTCCAGATAAACCAACCACAAAAAAAGAAAAAAAAATGCAGTATCTAAAAATTAAACTGCCTTTGGACCTTGGGCCCATAAAGTTAACTAAAACTCATGTGCTAAACCTAAACATGGTTATTGCTTGCTTAAATAAATATCTAAGTAGGACCTAGAATCTCCTAGGACAGTAGACAAAATGTCCAAGATACAATATAAAATTTACCTTTAAACTAAGACAGAAGAAAATCACAACTTGAGCAAAAAATGACAATCCGTAGAGATCAACAGAAGGATAGATTAGATGTTGGAATTACTGTTATGAAAAATTGTTATGAAAAAATGCTTCAAAATTTAATTATAAATTCCCTGGAAACAAATGAAACACTAGAAAATCTCGGTAAAGATAGAAGTTATATAAAAAAGAAACAAATTACAGAACTGAAAGATATAATAACAGCAACACAAAACTACTTACCTAGTGGCACATCTACAACCATGTGATCTTCACCAAAAACAAACAATAGGAAAAGGACTCCCTCTTCAATAAATGGTGCTGCAATATAACTGGCTAGCTATATGCAAAAGGATGAAACTGGACTCCTTCCTTATGCCATTTATAAAAATCAACTCAAAATGACTTAAAGACTTAAATGTAAAACCTAAAACTATAAAAACTCTGGAAGAAAACCTAGTAAATGCCAGTCTGCACATAGACCCTGACAAAGATTTAGTGACAGAGACACTAAAAACAATTGCAACAAAAGAAAAATTGACAAATGGACCTGAATCATCTGAAGACCTTCTGAACAGCAAAAGAAACTATCAATAGAGTAAACAGACAACCTATAGACTGGGAGAAAATATGTGCAAACTATGCATCTGATAAAGGTCTAATATCCAAAATCTATAGGAAATTTAAACAAATTCACAAGCAAATGACAACCCTCTTAAAAAGTGGGCAAAGGACATGAACAGACACTTCTCATAATAAGACATAAACATGGCCACAAGCTTATGAAAAAATGCTCAATATCACTAATCATTAGAGAAATGCAAATCAAAACCAAAATAAGATACTACATTACACCAGTTAGGATGGTTATAATTAAAAAGTAAAAAAATTGCAGATGCTGGCTATGTTGCAGAGAAAAGAGACCTTTTTACAGTGCTGTTGGAAATGTAAATTAGTTCAGCCATTGCAGAAAGCAACATGGCAATGTCTTAAGGAACTTAAAACAGAATTGCCATTTGACTGACCCAGCAATTCCATTATTGGGTTTATATCCAAGGAATAGAAATTATTCTACTATAAAGACACATTCATGCATATGTTCACTGTAGCACTGTTCACAATAGCAAAGGCATGGAATTAACCTTAATGCCCATCAATGACAGACTGGATAAAGAAAATGTAGTACACATGCAGCATAAAATGCTACACAGCAATAAAAACGAATGCAATCATATCGTTTGCGGCAACATGAATGGATCTGGAGATCGCTGTCCTAAATGAACTAGTGCAGAAACAGAAAACCAAATACCACATGTTCTCACTTATAAGTCGGAGCTAAACATTGAGTATGCATATATACATGTGTACTTGAGGGGGAAGGTAGGAGTTGAGAGAGGATAAATATACTATGTACGGGGTCTTATGTTCATTGCCAGTGTAGTGAAATGATCTGTACACCAAAATTCTGTGACATACAATTTACCAATTTAACAAATCTGCATATATATCCCTGAACCTAACAAAAGTTAATAAAATAAAATGAAAGAACAGAACCTGCTGGATAGACCACCATATTGTGATTTCATAGAGGATATAATGAGTTAATGTAAAATTAGAACAATGAAACCTTTGCAATATAAACAACACAGAGAAAAATGGACTGAATTTAAAATAAATATACACTTAAAGACCCATGTGACAATAATGAAAGACTGGACATTCAAATCTATCCAGTACTAGAAAGAAAGGAGAAAGTAGGAATGAAAGAATATCAGAAGGAATAATGGCTAAAATTTTCCAAACTTTGGTGAAAGATTCAAGAACATGAAACAAACCCAATGAGATAAACTCAAAGAAATCTATGTCAAGACAACTCATAATTTAACTGTTTCAACTATAGGCAAAAAAAAAGTTTTTGTAGACACAGTAAAGCTTTTTATAAAATTTATATGTAAGGCACATGTCCTAAATAACTAAAATAATTATAGTGAGCAGAGTAATGACCCACCAAAAATTCTGCATCATAATTCCCATAATTTATAAATATGTTAGATTATATGTCTGTGTTAGTCTGTTTTCACATGTATTAGTCACGGCTACAGCTGGACTGGCTAGGATGCAGGGCACCAAGTCCTGAGGCTTTACAGAGAAGCTGTCCCTGGCTGGCCCATGAAACCATTTTTTCCTCCTAATCTTCCAGGCCTGTTATGGGAGGGGCTGCTGTGAAGTTCTCTGATATGCCCTTACCAGAAAATGGGGTTTTCTTTTCTACCACATGGTAAGATTGCAAATTTTCCAAATCTTTATGCTCTGCTTTTTTTTTAAACATAAGTTGCAATTTCAAACCATCTCTTTGTGAATGCATATGACTGAATGCTTTCATAATAAGCCAGGTTAGCTCTTAGAACAGAGTTTTACTCTTCTTGCCCAGACTGGAGCACAGCGGCACAATCTTGGCTCACTACAACATCTGATCCTGCCTCAGTCTCCCTAGTAGCTACAGGTCACCTCTTGAATGCTTTGTTCCTTAAACAATTCTTCTGCCAGATACTCTAAATCACTTCTCTCAAGTTCAGTGTTCCACAGATCTCTAGGGCAGTAGCAAAATGCCACCAGTCTATTTGCTAAAGCATAATAAGATTGATCTTTGCTCTAGTTCCCAATGAGTTCTTCATCTCCATCTGAAACCTCTTGAGATTGGACTTCATTGTCCATATTACTATCAGCATTTTGGTCAAAACCTTTCAACAAGTCTCTAGGAAGTTCCAAACTTTCCCAAATCTTCCTATCTTCTTCTGAGCCCTCTGAAGTGCTCCAACCTCTGACTGTTACCCCGTTCCAAAGTTGCTTCCACATTTTCTGACTATCTTTATATGAAGTCCCCATAACCCAGTACCAATTCTCTATATTAGTCCATTCTCATGCTGCTATAAAGAAATAGCCAAAGATGGGTTATATGTAAAAGAAAGAGGTTTAATTAATTCACAATTTCAGAAGGCCCCATTAACCAGTACCAATTCTCTGTATTAGTCCATTCTTATGCTGTTATAAAGAAATAGCCAAGGATGGGTAACTTATAAAAGAAAGAGATTTAATTGATTCACAATTTCACATGGCTGGGCAGACCTCAGGAAACTTACAATCAAGCAGACAGTAAAAGGGAAGCAGTCATCTTTTTCACAAGGCAGTAGGAGAGAGAGAGAGAACACAGGGGAAACTACCATACATTTAAACCATCAATATCTCATGAGACCTCCCTCACTATCCTGGGAATGATGTGGGAAAAAAATCACCTTCATGATCCAATCACTTCCCACCAGGCCTCTTCCTTGACATGTGGGGATTACAATTCTAGATAAGATTTGGGTGGAGACATAGAACCAAACCATATTAATGTTAAAAGAAAACAAAGGCTGCAGATAAAATTAAGGTGGCTAAATAGCTGGTTGAGGAGAAATTACTTTGTGATTTAACTTAGGTCTTGCACACTTAGGCATTTATCCCAGAGAAAGGGAAAGTTATGCTCACACAAAAACTGTACCATAATGTTTATAGTAGCTTGACCTGTTGTATCCTCAAACTGGAATTATCCCAGATTTTCTTCAGTAGGAAATAGTTAAAATGTGGCACATGCATACTACAGAATAGCACTTTGCAATAGGAAGAAACTAATTTATCACCTTAAATTAACTTCCAGGGAATTATTCTTTAAGAAGAAAATTCTCAAAGTTTACTTTGAATAAGATTTCATTTGTATAGCATTTTTGAAATAACATATGACATTTTGTTATAAATTACATATTAGTGACAAATTAGGGAAAAGGCTGGCATGTACTAGGAGGCTGTAGTAGAAGGTATTACTAAAGATAATAAATGTAATGTTGTATAAATGATCAAAGTAACTGGACTTCAAAACATGTTTGTCATACTCACTCCTTTTATCCTCTAGACTCAGAGCAATGCCTTTTACAAAAATGGGCTTCCAAATGCTTGCTAGGAACTGAAGAAATTTCTGGTATTTTTATGGTGATCAGTCCTAAAATAGGTTATAAAGAGATTACTTTGATAATCTATGAAATCAAATAAACCTACAGACAGAAGAAGCTCACTTGCGGTACAGATGTACCTCAACTACAAGGGAGTTATGTCCCCAAAAACTCATTGTAAGTTGAAAATATTGTGAAGTCGAAAATGCATTTAACACCTGATAAACCGATTGTAACGTCAAAAATCTTACGTTTAACAATTGTTAAGTTGGGGCCTTCTGCATTTCCTGAGTAACAATGGCTTCACTTGTATCATCCTTTAAAATTTACAAAGTAATATTTACATGCAGAATTCCACAGTACAGGAGATATGCAAACTACATGTAATCATTAGCACTTCACAATGATGAGACCCAGAAACTTACACAAAGCAGAGCCCAGATCATAACCCAAGGTCTTTTAACTCAACTCCAGTACCATGGTTCTTTGCGGTACCCATTTCTCAATGCATCTTCTATCAAAGTTGGTTCTTAACTCTATGAGACACAATGACAGTTTTTTAAAAGAAATGTTTTGGAAGTCCTTTTTTTACTCTCCTGAAATAAATTACAGAATTTATGTACTTAACCTCAAAATAATTGTTATTATGCTTATCATTATATAGAAGAAAATAAAGTTTTAAATAATTATTATGCTTATCATTATATAGAAGGAAATAAAGTTTTTAAATAACATGCATTTCAACAAGTACCTTAACATGACCACACTAGAACATATGCTCAATAAATCAGATATTTGCAACAGTATATAGAATAATCATGAATGTGACTTCTACAAATGTAGTCAAACAAATATATTAAGCTGAAGATGCCAATATTTCTCTGTGATGCAGATTTGTTCATAAAATTACAAACATATATAAGTATAATTTCTAATATGTATACACTAGTTGTATTTATGGAAAATTTGCTGTATATTCTTATCCAGCTAACATTACTTTGTAATTATAAATACGGTTTGCATCTTGAATGTCAAGGGCAATATGGTTCTTCATGGTTTATTTCACATCCCTAGCTAGTGCTCACTACCTGCCAGTAGAGTGCCCAAGTCTTATGACTAGCAACACTACCCCCTTGAATTTCACAATGATGCCTAGGTTGTTGACATTTCTCTATTGCGCACTGCTAAACACAGCATGGAACAACAGGCAGAATTATTGGGAACTGCTTTACAATTTTTCCAGTTAAGTGATAATCAATGTTAAGACTCTATATTTTCAGTCTCAGGAACATTTTTGAAATAGATTCTTGCACTCTGCACTGCTTATACTCATACAACTTGCTTCCTTAGATGGAAAATCCAAAAGGTATAGAGATGTATATTTCTAGCCTAAATTATATATACCTTCAAGTAAATCAGGAATCAGCTAATTTCACTATTATTCAGTAGACTTCTATTAAATATCTCAAATGTCAATTCTATTAATGCCTAAAATAGTAAGATAGTTAAATATAATTTATAATTCAGACAACAGAAATGCTTACCTATTCATAAGTATTTCCTCAAAGGTCAAAGACAGTAACTTTTATGATTAAGCTTTGTGGAAGCTAATTCATGTCTTATAGACAGAGTGATGGTAACAGGCCAAGGTATCACTTGTAGAGCCTGCCAACTGCAGCTTCTGTTATTGCACTTGTCAAAATGACCCACTGGGATGGAAGATTTATTAGAGTTTTCCTTCCAGATAAATCCCTGTTGTGAATCAAATTATTCACTTTGTATTGAATAATATTTTTAGCAGTAATTCTGGAATTGTTTAAAACTTGTTATTAAGGAACATGTTATACATTTTGATAAAATCAGAGTGTAAAGAAAATCAAATGAATGAAAAATATGTCATAAGTTGACCTTTCATTGTTTAATATAAATTGCCTTTTCATGTAATTCTTATGCCATATTTGTTTCAAAAGCTACACATCTTACTGATGGTCTGAGAATATATATCTTTCTCTCTGATATATTGAAAATTGGTAAAGATTTTGATAAAAGATTGGGTTCAATGGTGATGAATAGTACTAAGAATTGTGAGATTTAGTTCAATATTTTGTATGTATATTTAAAGTCTACAACCAGAAAAGTAACCAAGAAAGCTTAAGCAATATTAGTTACCTGTATTTGTCACTGGACCCCTTAGTGTTTTCCCAAATGTGATAAATGAGGGGGATACAAAAGAGAAGCTTCAGGTTCTCTGAGGGAGGAGCAACTCAGTATATAAGTTATGGTCCACATTGCCGCATAGATCTTCTTTGGAATTGAGGTTAAAGGCCATTGCAACTTCTCTTTAGAAACCAAGCAGTTATCCTCAAGCACTTGAAGCACAATATTCAAGCAGGTTGAATTTTTTTACTTTGATTTACATAAATCACAATGGTTTAAATGTGTACACATGTGTGTACAAATATATATTCACTGCACTTGGAGATTTATGAGACTGAACAATTCATATTTAGAATTGATAAACATCTGAAAATTGATTAAAGAAGTTTTTAAATGCATATTTACTAATAAAGAATGCCCCTGCACTTGTAACATGGCAGTCTGTATTTCTATTTCAGTGAAGAACCTATGTAAAATCAAAACCCATGTCTACCTATACAACCCAACAATGAAAAAATAGGCTTAATAAAATAGGTTTGGAAGTTCTACTGCCCTCACACATATTCAAAAGTGACCCTAAAACAAACATATGTTTCCTACCTCTTAACTAAATCTTTCCAACACTCCATTTACTTCACTAATCTTAAAAACACACCTTACAAAGTTACAATTCATTATACGGGTGACTACTTGATATGGAGGACATCTGGGAATGGGTTCACTGAACATCTGAAGCACATCACATCATTAGACAAAAGAAAATGTTAATGAATCCCTGAGTGTTCAACATGGCTGGACTTCACAGGCCCGTGGATCATTGCAAGGATTATTTTATATATGTACACACACATATACACACAAACACTCACACACCCCTACCAATACACATGTCAATAAAAAAACTGAAAAGGGAAGAGAAACAGAAATTCTACCCTATTAGACCCCTCAACCTAGCTTATAGTTGCCATTCTAAATATTTTTTAAACAAATGACTAACAGAAATGTATAAATTGATGACATCTTTTTCTTGGAAATTTTGGAAATGTTTTGTTGAGGCTCCGTGGTCCACTGTATATTCCCACAAATGCGATTGGTTTGGGTTCAGCCATGTTCAGTCAGACCTTTGGGAAATTAAAGATTGACTGAGAAATCTACCAGTTCAGTGAGATAGCACTGCAAAAGATTAATATCTCAAAGAAGTCTCCATTACACTTGCCACAGACTTCTGTGCATCCTGACATTAAAGGATGATGATGCTGGTGAAACACTGACTTACTATCATGGCATTGCTTAAAATGATTTCTTCACTGCAGCAACATAGGCAGAATACAGAAGATAGGAATATCAGGGCTTTTTGCCTTGTAATTTTTGCTGACAGAGAAGAAAAATGAAAATGTAAATCTTTCGAGTTAGCTGTATTTTGAAAAAGTATTTTGAACAAAATTTTCTTGTTTAACAAATACATATAAAATATTTAGCTAAAACAATAGAAACAAAAGGTGATAGTCTACCTGGTGAAACATGGCCTCAGAATGTATTGAAAATAGAAGAAAAACCTAAACGTTTTATAGAATCAAAATGAGAAAAAAAGTAGCACAACAGCAGCAGCCTGGTATACATTTTAGCAAATCAACAGGAACACTTTGAAACACTCCCTGTTATTTTCTTTCTCTCCACCCGGAACTGCTGGGAACTCTACAGGACTCCTGAAGTCTACACTTTTCTCTTCCTTGCTACATTTTGAAAGGCAAAGCTAAGCCTCAGAAAAACAAATCACCAACAAGATGCATTTCAAATCTGACCTAGTTCTGACTAGGCCACATGAGTATTTCATGTACATATTTACCCTTGAAGATTAATCTCATTTTTAGCAGTTATTCAGATGTGTAGATGTCAGTTCATTAAACCAAACAAACTCAATAATGTAATTGCACTTTAAGTTCCTAGACAAAGATTGACTTTTGAATGTAAATTTACGTATCATGCTCTTGATAATTTGTTCTTCCTCTTATGACATTTAAAAATATATAAATCTTTATATTTGAAAACTTACATTTTACATTCTGGACAATAGACTTATGCTTTTTTCCCCTTCCTCTCTTCTTTTCCTTCCTTCCTTCCTTCCTTCCTTCCTTCCTTCCTTCCTTCCTTCCTTCCTTCCTTCCTTCCTCCCTCCCTCCCTTCCTTCCTTCCCGTTTATACTTCTCTGCCTTGTCAAAGAGATAAATTCATCACATTATAATAATCTATGATCATTTACTCTGAATTTGTCTTTTAAAAGGAAGTTTTCTTTCCTCAATAGATTGTTTTTATGGGGGAAAGCAAAGCATTTGCATTTTTTCTTAGTAATTATGCTTTCATTTCAGATAAATAAATCATTATACAGATTATGATAACAGATCCATGTATCAATGAATCCGCCAGAGCTTAATCACCCTGGACAACGTATATAATTTTACTCATGAGTATAAAAAACTAAAAAGATAAGCATAGACTTGTGGTGACTTTCATAAGAAGTGCATAGTGCTGAGCTTGTGATTTGATCAATCAACTAATCGTCCTCTTCTCTATTCTACCTTATCTATAATAGCAGTTAACAATTCTTGCATATAAAATAGCGGTTAACAATCATTTAATAAAAGTGAAATGAATTTTAAGATACATTAAAAATCCTGAAATAAACATACTTTGTTTCATTCTATTTGCAAGATCTGATAGGAGAAACAAATATGTTTAATATATCCTATTTTTTATTTGTTTGTTTTTGAGGTGGAGTCTCGGTCTGTTGCCCAGGCCACTGTGCAATGGCACTATCTCAGCTCACTGCAACCTCCGCCTCCTGGGGCCAAGCAATTCTCCTGTCTCAGCCTCTTGAGTAGCTGAGATTACAGGCACCCATCATCAAGCCCTGGTAATTTTTTGTATTTTAGTACAGACAGGGTTTCACCATGTTGCCCTGACTGGTCTCGAACTCCTGAGCTCAGGCAATCTACCTGCCTTTGCCTCCCAAAGTGCTAAGAATATAGGCATACTGCACCTGGCCTCTATCGTATTGTTATTAAATATAAGATATGAATTTGAATATTATTAGGAAAGGCTAGATTAATTTGAAGGGTGACAATTACTTCTTACATGGTCTCATTTGTTTTAGTTCATTTTATACTTACTCTATTGCTTTTAGAGAGTATAATTTATAATGTCAACCACATCATTTATAATGTCCTGCATAGTATTTTTCTACTATGGACAAATACCTGGTTATCTTTATTCTAAATTTTATATCTTTCATCTTTATCCTTATATAAATATGTACTTGAATTTTGTAATGATTCAATAATTAACAGGCTCTTGCCTGCAATCACTCTTCAGTCACTAGGTATACAGTGATGAAAGAAAGATAATGCCTCTGCTCAAATGAAGCTTACATTATAAACAAGAGAGGCGATGAAGAAAAAAAGAAAGGAAAGAATAAAGTAAAAACA